TTTTCTGCAATTAATCCATAAAGTTCAAAATTACCTTTTGCTGTTTTGTATGTAGCATCTAAATGAAGCTCTTTTGCATTTTTTAATTCATCTAAAAGTGGAGTAGAAAAAGCAATTGCCACTAAAGTATCTGATGTTTTTGCAAATAATAATTTACAATTTTTCGACTGTTATTTATTCTCAATAAGAACTATAGCAGACTTTACTGGATCTTCATATTGTTGATATAATGATCGATTAAAAAGGCTCCACCAGTAATAAATTTGTTTTCCTGTTATGTTTTTTAGATCAAATTTTGTAGAAAGATATGTTCGCAATTGTAATGGATCAAGATTTTTATTTTACTGAATTTCAACTTTAATTTCTTCAGGAACTTTTTCTTGAATTGAAGGTTGTTCATTAAATATTTCGTGTTGAATTTTTATATTTGCACATGATTTTAAAAGGTTGGTTCGTATAATAAGATGCCCATTGCAATTATAGCGTATCATCCTTTTGCGATTTGAAGATTTATAATTTTTTAAATTTTCAGATTGACTATATTCATAATATGTCATACTAATTTGCTTTGGCATATTTTTTGAATAATTCGTTTTAATAAAACTAAAAAAATCAATTATACTGTATTTAGTATATAGTTAATAAAAAATTATTTTGCGCTACAAATAAATATGTATATTGTAATTTAATTTATATATCTATTGTAAATTGTACTCACTTCCACTTATATCCATTACCATTTTCAATTTGTTCACGAATAAATTTTGTAGTTTCATTTAATGATAAATTCAAGATTCCAAATTGGACAATAATTTCAAATTCTTCTGTATTTTCTGTTTTTGTAATTTCATCAATTATTTGTGAAAGAATATTTATATCTACTTCAATAATAGCATTATTATCTTCTATAATATTGTTATTATCATTGTTATTGTCTTGATTAATAGAATTAATTGAATTGTTAATAAGTAAATCAATCGAATTATTAACATGACGTGTAATTTCAATTAATGGTTTTTTAATATTAGAATTTTTTGTATTTTGATAGTTTAATTGTCGTTTATCTAAACAAAAGTTACAAGTTTTGGCAAGTCTATCTTTAATTTTTTTAAATACATCATTTGAACGTGGTGTTTGACAACTTGTGCAAAAAGAAAACATTGCTACGTAACAATAAAAAAACTAACAAGTATACATAAATTATATATTTATTATTGATTTAAATATTAATTCTTCTTGCATATACTACGTAATAATTACAGTATAGTGCATATTAATAATGATTATCTTTTAAATTTTAAGCACATATAAATTCTGTATTAGGTTATACAGATCATGTGTCACAGATCCTATTAATAAATTCGAAAGTTTTTCAAAACTTCTAGTGATAAATTCTCAATAGTTACTAGATAAATTTAGTAAAAAATTTTTTATTTCAGTACAATAGATTTGTAGAATTAAAAAAAATGAATTCATTGAATTTGGATCAATAGTTATTGTATTGAGAAATAAGTTTAAAAAAATAACTTGGAAAAAACCAAATCGAGTAAATTTTTTCTTATTTGAGTTTAAACAAAGATTTCTCAACAACTAACTGTTTAAATTTGAATTTTTTTTTGATTTTAATTCCGTTAGTTCATATAATTATAATAAAAATTTTTTTATCGAATTTAAATAGCAGATTGTTGAGAAATATTCATTAAAATTTTAAAAAAAATTTGGTCGCAGCTTCTTTTTTTAAGACATTTAAACTTTGAATGAAGATTATTCAGTACTTATATGGTAAATTCGATTAATTTTTTTTATTTTAATTATATGAGCTTATAAAATTTAAATAAAAAAAAATTTGTTAGAATTTGATCAGGTAAGTGCCGGGTAATCTTCGTTCAAAGTTAAAACACCTTAAAGAATAAAGCTGCGACCAAATTTTTTTTAATATTTATTAAATATTTTTTTTGACAACTTGCTATTCAATTCGATCAAAAAGTTTTATTTTAATTCTATTAACTTATAGAATTAAAATAAAAAAAAGTTTATCAAATATTAATAGTTGGTTGTTGAAAAATTTGTTTTAAGTTTTTTATAAAAATTTTAAGTTGCAATTAATGTTTTGTTTAAACTTTAAATGGTGATTTTTTGACAACCAACTATCAGAATTCAACAAAAATTTTTTTG